AAAGCTCCAACGATACAAAAGAAGAAAGGAGTTCTGCTCTGAGTTCTGCTCTGAGTTCTGCTCTGAGTTCTGCTGGTTCTGCTGGTTCTGTGCAGGACGGTGTTCACGTCGCAGCAGCTGGAGGAGCTGGAGAAAGCCTTCCACGAGGCTCATTATCCAGATGTTTACGCCCGAGAGCTGCTGGCCCTGAAGACGGAGCTGCCCGAGGACCGCATCCAGGTCAGAACCGGGCCTCACCAGTCTGTGTCCTTACACTGGTCAATGGTCAAACTGGTTTTTCATGTCTTCAGTCAGGACCCAAACACAAGTGTTTCAAAAAGAGAAAAGATAAAAACTGATTATTAGGACGTTTAGATTTGATTGTCATTTTTAAAAGAATCGGAGAAATAAGAAGTGGTTACATTTGTGTTTTTAGGACCACAGGAAGAAATAAACTCAGTTAAATGACATCAACACTTATTTTTATCTGTTTGATTTAAATTAATTTATTTATATATTTTTGTTTAACGTTAAAGTGTGTTTTATTTAACTACAGAAACATTTGACCTGATGAAACAGACGTGAATATTTCTTGTAGCGAAGCGGGTCAGAACCTGTCAGAAAACTGAGACAGAGTGTTAGTGATGACAGTCAGTACGGCAGGCAGTTTTTCACATAATCAAACAACACTTTCTCTTACATTACTATGGTAAATATTGATTTATTTTCATATTAACATTCTTACTGATTAGAACTTAAAAGAAGTGTAACTGTAATCACATTACATTATAATTTAAGTACAGTGTAAAATAAGTCATTTAATTTGAATTAATATTTTGCTAAATCTATTCTGTTGTTGGTTTTTTTTGGAGTGGATTTTAGTTGGTCATTTAAACATTTAATATCACTGAGTGGCAGTTAGCTATGAGCTGCTGTTTGTAAAGTTACACAGTCAAAAATTACACCAATATTTTTGTTTTATTTAGTCTTTTATGAGAAAAAAAATAAGAGATTTATTTTTCAAAGTCAGTTTTTCACCGTATGATTCATACATTTATAAATGTCATAGTTTATAAACTAAATATTTAACTT